GGAATGTGAAGCAGGTAAATGAGCGAAGACCTTAGGTCACATTTGTTCTTCGAAACAGTGAGGAGATCCAGCAGGTAGTCTGTTAAATAATGTGGGAGACAGAGGACATCCCTGTCGCCATCTCAAGATGAACATAGAATGGCTTTGACTCCTGGCCACGTAGCTCTACTCGGGCAGGCCCACCATCATGAAGGTCCTTAATGATTGTGAGCAGAGAGTCAGGGACTCTGAAAGCACGAAGAACAACCAAAAGCCCTGGCTTGTTGATGGTATCATAGGCCTTGACCAGATCAATAAAGCAGAAGTGTAGGTCTTGTTGGAATCCCCTACACCTCTGCAGTAGCAGACAGACAGATAATATGGCATCCATACAGGACTGCCCTGGTCTGAAACCCCATTGGGGTTTTGCAAGCCTGGCAAGGGGGTGTTGAATAATCCTTGCCAGGACCTTTCCCGGCACCCTGAGAAGTGAGATGCCCCTGTAGTTGTTACAGCCGGTGGGGTCCCCATTCTTAAAGAGGGAGACCACAATGACATCCTTCAAATCCTGCAAAACCCATCCAGTGGTCCGGACTGTTATTACAATGTCGTGTAGGGCAGTTTGTGCATGAACACCACCCTCTCTCAGCAGTTCGCTTAGGAGATCGTCTCTGCCCTGCACTTTTCCTCGTTTTAGACTCTGGATCACTGTCGTGCTTGCTCAACAAATGACACCTCAGCCAGCCACTCACAAGGGGTGACTATTTCCTGTAATATTCGAGGCATTGGCAGCCCCAGCAGGGTTATTCCCACCTTGCCCCATGATGTTATCTGGGCAGAGGAATTTCCCCTTCACCAAAACCTCAAAGATATTCCTGTGGTCGGAGATCGGATAACATTACTTTCCCTTAATTCTAGTGATAGGTGTGGTGCTGCAAGTTACTTTGTGATGGAGTTAATGAGTGTTTTGTGATCGTGGGAAACCTGCATTGTCGCACGGCTCTCCGAACCTCCAAGCAAAGGCTGCGGTAAGCCTCCTCCTTCTCTGATGCTGTAGTCGGTGGGAGTGGGGCTAACGCTTTTTCTCAGCCAGCTGGAACACCTCCTTTGTCAGCCAGGGTCTCTGGGGATGTTTGGACCGTGTAACCAAATTAGCCATTGCAGCTGCATGTGACAGTCCTAAACCTCGCCCATTTCCCCTCAGTATCAGGAGGGTTGTTCGATGCCAACCCCAGCTCTATGCGATGATCACTTGCAACTTTCATCATCTAGCTTAGACCAGGCCATTGTGGGTTTGAATAGGGTCCTAGGTGTACACCCACCACCGGAGTGGAAAAATGACAGGCGCATGTTATAGATTACAAGCCGATGGTCAGTGGGCAAATCATCCCCAGATGTATCTGTGTCTGGTGCCAAAGGGGGTGACTCACTGCGAGTGCTTTCTGGCGACGGGAGCCATCGCGCACATCGACGCAGACGGAGCCGGACCCATCATTCATGCCGGCACGGGCACCGCCGCCAGCGTGAGCAGTGTGCCGACTCAGCAACCACCCCAGCGGTTAGGCCTTGTTGTTGTTGTGTGTGTGAGATAATCTTTGTGTCTCTGTGTTTGTGTGTGCTGTAAGTAGGCCTCGGCAAGGCAAGGTAATTTACCCTTTTTACCGGGTAAAAGGGTAAAGCTAAAGGCTAAAGATGTCGACATGCCAAGGGGTAAGGTAAAGAGTTGGGTAAAGGTAGCTCAGAAGAATTACCTGGTAGGGTAAAGGTAGCGCGAAGTATTACCCGGTAAATACGGTGCCTTGTTTACCGCTAGAAGCTCTGTGGCGCAGTCCGTGGCCTCCATTTAATAAGTAATATTAAAAAAAACTTTCTTAAAAACACGCTTTTATGAAATGTACTAGTAATGGCAGAACTCCACGACTCCAGGAAGTGGCCCCGAAGCTTGCCACAACGTAAGGGGCCGTGGTGATTTACAGCCAACGTCAGTTGACCGTGGACAATTAGACCCAAGTCGAAACATAACATATAAAAAAGGATTTAATGATAGAATATAGTGTTGTCATCAGTATGACATAAGTATACCAAGTTTGCAGTCGATACCACATTAGGAAGTGGGTAAAAATTTAGTTACAAGATTTGAGGATACGACAACAACAATGACAACAACGACAACAACGACAACAACAACAATGACAACGACGACAACAGCAATGACAACAACGACAACAAGCGTGTAAAATTGGAATCATCGAGAGTATTCTATATGAATAAAGCGCTCTACCTAGCATTTACCGTTATAAACCTTGTTCATGTGTCGTAGTTCCCTAGTAATTACCCTGTAATTGGGTAATTTGTATAGGGTAAGGGTAAAAGGTAGGGTAGAGTGATTGTATTGTGGTAAGGTAAAAGGTAGGGTACAAATAGGCTCGTTGTTTTTACCTTTTAACTTTGACCTTACCTGCTGAAGGGTAAAAGGTAGGGTAGAGTGATTGTATTGTGGTAAGGTAAAAGGTAGGGTACAAATAGGCTCGTTGTTTTTACCTTTTAACTTTGACCTTACCTGCTGAAGGGTAAAAGGTAGGGTAGAGTGATTGTATTGTGGTAAGGTAAAAGGTAGGGTAAAAATAGGCTCGTTGTTTTTACCTTTTAACTTTGACCTTACCTTGCCGAGGCCTACCAGCGGTGGAGAGAGACTGACTGCGCAGCCGAGAGCACCGCGTGTTCGACACACACACACACACACGCGCCGACCCAGCGCCCCCTGCTGGGAACCTGAGGTATTTTCGGTTCAAGGAACGCTGCACCGCGGAAGCCATTGATTCCTCAAAATCACACTGCCCGCTATAATTACACTGGTCAATTTTTGAAGCTGTTTTAGACTAATTTCAGGGTGCTGATTCCAAATCTGATCTCAGATTTGCTCTATCACATCTCATTTTATGCTATCGGCATACCCCATTTTCATTGATTTTACCCGAAATTTACTCTGTCACTTATGATTGCAAGTTGTTGCGAGTCAGTGACTGCTTTAGTGTTAAAATATGGTGCTGTATTTTTAGTATAGTGTGTTTATAATATCATTTTATGTAGATATCCACATTTATTTAATATTTTTCTTCTGCAGTTTTTATTGAAAATGCAATACTTTATATCTCTAAAACCTGATGTGATAGACAAAAACTGATGCCAGATTTGGAATCAGCACCCCAAAATTACATTAAAACCGTTGGAATACCTTATGCCTGAAAAAGTGTGTTGACCAGTGTATAGTACATAGTAATGTAGAGTGTAGTGTATAGTAGTGTATTGTATAGTAGCGTCATGTATTGTAGTGTGGTGTGTAGTAGTGTAGTGTATAGGTGAGTCGTGTATAGTCGTGTATAGTGTAGTGTATAGTGGTGTATTGTATATTAGTGTAGTGTATAGAAGTGTAGTATATAGTGGTGTATAGTGTCGTAGTGTGTAGTAGTATATAGTAGCGTACAGTGTAGTAGTGTGTAGTAGTATATAGTAGTATATAGTGTAGTAGTATAAAGTAGTGTAGTGTGTATGTGTGAGTACGTAGAACTGATCGCTCTCTGTAACCCCCACACAGAGTAATTGGACCTCGTGGTGACTGTCCTCCTACTCACACACACAACGCCCATATCGGTGCGAATAAGATTGCTCCAAGAAGTTTTTTTGTTTGTTTCGAAAAGGGTTCCCATCACAAAGTGGTGCGTTAACTATTAGCTGATCGTGAAAAGCATCGTTCTGTCCCTTGAGTCGTTTCGAAGAATAGGGTGTTTAAAAAGCAGACCCGATTTGAAATCGCTATATCTCTGCAACCACGAACCGCCCATTAATGAAACTCTTACCACTTGAAAGGGCGGGGCGTAGAGTTTCAAATGATTACCACTAGATGCCTCTCCCAGTACACAAACAGCCCCTTGCCTCAGTCATTCGCAAGATGGTGACCCTGCAATACAAGGAGCGTTTTACGTTCAGCAGTTCAGCAAGACTGAGTCCGTAATTGCGGTGCAGCATGCGTTTCAACGGCGTTTTGGCATTGATCCGCCATTGTCAAATAGCATTCGTGGTTGGTACCGACAATTTGAGGAAGCGAGCTGTTTATGTCAGGGGAAGAGCACAGGGAGACCATGCACCTCAGGCGAAAACGTGAGAAGAGAGGCGTTTGGGACGAATTCAACTATCGTCTCGATGTTGTCCGTACAGCAGGTGGAGGGCACATCGAGCATTTATAAAATGGTTTGTAAAACTTGATAACTCATTAAACCGTTTGTATCATTTTGAGTAATTGTAACCATCGTGAAATATACTGCTTTGAAATTGGGTCCATCTTTTTGACACAACCCTGTATTTTAGTCATACATTTCGTTAATTGCGTTATCTTACCGATGAATTAATTGCTGTAAACGTTTGCCACTGACATATTTTACATTTTTCATGACATTATTTTTCTAAACAATAGAAACAACAATCACTACCACCATCATCATCGTTACCACCACGACGATTAGCATCATCACCATCATTACCACCATCACCATCACCGCAACCATCATCACTACTACCACCACCACTGCCACCACCACTGCCACCACCACCATCTCCACCACTACCATCATCATCACTACCACCACCACCCTCACCACCACTATCATCACCACCACCACTACCATCACTACCATCATCATGACCACCACCACCTCTGCCACCGTCATCAAGAGCAGCAAAGCCACAGCAAAGTGAATGTCGGGCAACTGCAGTCACAGCAACACTCCTCACTATGGCGACGTTCACCGTGGCGATGGTCACCGTGGCAACGGTCACCGTGGCAACGGTCACCCGTGGCCGAGTGAACGGCGATTGCACGCGGCTGTGTGGGTTGGTGTGGTGGGTTGTGAGTTTGGTTGCGGTGAGTGGTTGTGGTGTTGGTGAGTGTGGTGGTGGTGAGTTGTGATTGTGAATGTGGTAGAGTGTTGTTGTGAGTGTGGTTCTTGTGAGTGTGGTGGTGAGTGTCACTCTCCCTTGTGTGGAATCTCTGAGGCATCGGCACGGCAGATGGGGCAGGTCGGGTTAATCTGCAACGACCACATCAACAACCACATCAACAACCACAACAACCACATCAGCAACCACATCAACAACCACAACAACCACATCAGCAACCACAACAACAATCGTGTCAATCAATTAACACTCACCCCCATCCCACCCACCCACCTCGCCCACACATCCCCCCCTCACCCCCCCACTCACTTACCCTCCCACCCACCCACTCACCCACCCACCCACTCACCCACCCACCCATCCACCCACCCACCCACTCACCCTCCCACCCACCCACTCACCCACTCACCCACTCACCCACCCACCCACTCACCCACCCACCCACTCACTCACCCACCCACCCACCCACTCACTCACCCACTCACCCACTCACCCACCACCCCTCACCTTGAGCCACTCGTCCACACACTCACTCACTCACCCACCCACTCAACCACCCACCCACCAACTCACCCACTCACCCACCCACTCACCCACCACCCCTCACCTTGAGCCACTCATCCACACACTCACTCACTCACCCACCCACTCAACCACCCACCCACCAACTCACCCACTCACCCACCCACCCACCCACTCACCCACCACCCCTCACCTTGAGCCACTCGTCCACACACGTGGCGTGGAACTCGTGGCTGCAGGGCAGCACTCGCAGACTCTGCCTCGTTTCAATGTCGGACAAACACACCGCACACCTGCACACACCGCACACGCCGGATAGTGAGTATACACTCCACGCGCCTCCACACACCGCACACACCAAATAGTTAGTACACCACATACACCACGCACATACCGCACACACCACGTAGTGCGTACAAACACACGCACACAGTGAGTGACCCATTGTGTGTCCCAATGAGTGAGTGACCCAATGCTGAGGGAGGGTGGCGATTGTGCATAGACTGCCCTACATGATATCATAACAACAGTCTGGACCACTGGACGGGTTCCGCAGGATTGGAAGGATGCCCTGGGGGCCGCACAGACTGTAACAACTACAGGGGCATCTCACTCCTCAGTGTGCCGGGAAAGGTCCTGGCAAGGATTATCCAACACTGCCTTGTGAGGCACGCTGAGGAGAGGCTTGTGGAGCCCCAATGCGGTTTCAGGAAAGGGCGGTCCTGCAGAGATGTAGGGAATTCCAACAACAACTACATCTCTGCTTTATTGACCTGGTCAAGGCCTATGATACCGTCAGTAGGCCTGGGCTCTGGGTTGTTTTTCGTGCTTTCGGAGTCCCTAACTTTTTGCTCACAATCATTAAGGACTTTCATGATGGTGAGCAGGTGCGGGTAAAGCTATTTGGCTGGGAGTCGGAGCCATTCCCTGTTCACATTGGGGTGCGACAGGGATTTCTTCTGGATCCCACATTACTTTACATCTATTTCGACCACGTAGTTCGTGAAGCCGTCGATGGCTGTACCAGAGGATTTTCCACCTGTTACAGATACAATGGGAGGCTGATCGATACCCGCGTGAGGTAAAGGGATGGCTCCTATTGCTCAACCATGATACGTATGCCGATGATCTGGTGATTGCTGCTCACTCAGATTAGGAGTTGGAGGCACTGCTGCTGAACCTGGAACTTGCCACTAAGAGGTGGGGCTTTACCATCAGCCCCACCAAAACTAAGAACCTGTCTGGGTATTTTGCACCATCGGACACTCCACCCCCACAACTGTCAATTGGTGATGGGGCAGTTGTGGAGAGAGTGGAGAGTTTCCCATACCTGGGCAGTGTGCTCAGGACCGGCTCCGGTGTGACAGCAGAGGTCTCACTCTGAATCAGCCTAGCGGCATTATCCTTTTTTTGGCTGCATAACGCTGTGTGGAACATACCTGGTCTGTCGCTCGACACGAAGCTTCAGGTCATCTTGGCCACGGTCATGCCCTCCCTTCTCTCCGCTTGCAAAACGTGGACCCCCCCCTAAATGGAACATTTTCGCCGTTTAGAAACATTTAGGCTGGCCTCCCTACGATCCATTCTGGGTTTAACCTGCAGGCTGGATTGTGTGATGAACTCACAAATCCTTGAAAGATCTGGACAAAGACCCATCGGTGAGCTCCTCCGGCAGGCAAAGCTGCGTTGGTTGGGTCATGTAGCCCACATGCCCAGCCACCGCATGCCCAAACAGCTTTTGTTCAGCCGGATCGAGGGGGCTAAATAGGCGCGGCACGGGCTAGAGAAGAGATGGAGTGATGTGGTACAGGAGGATGTGGAGCTGAGTGGACTTGCTGATGACTGGTACCTGCAGTGTCAAAATCGGCCTCTGTGGAGGAGGCTCGTGAATGACGCTACTGGGCAGTTGGAGGCAGTTGCCCTCCAACAACAACAATGAAAGGTAGAGGAGCGACGCTCACAACAACGAGCGGAGCTCTGGGGCACGACAACAGAATAAGCTGGCACAGTAGGGGGCACAAGCGGTGCATCAGCCAGTCATCTCAGTCAGTCGACCTGTGGCACCTGCTGGGTCTTCCCCGTGACCTCCTGCCGGAGGGCGTTCGACACTTCACGCGGCCTCAACGTGCACATGGCCTGGCACAAGTGCCGTGGTCACGTCACTGCCACTTAGTGGTGAATGGCGGTTGTTGTGTGTCCCAGTGAGTGAGTGACCCAGTGAGTGACCCATTGAGTGAGCGACACAGTGAGTGAGTGACCCAGTGAGTGAGTTACACAGTGAGTGACACCGTGAGTGAGTGACACAGTGAGTGACACAGTGAGTGACACAGTGAGTGAGTGACACAGTGAGTGAGTGACCCAGTGAGTGACACAGTGAGTGAGTGACCCAGTGAGTGACACAGTGAGTGAGTGACCCAGTGAGTGACACAGTGAGTGACCCAGTGAGTGAGTGACACAGTGAGTGAGTGACCCAGTGAGTGAGTGACATAGTGAGTGACACAGTGAGTGAGTGACCCAGTGAGTGAGTGACACAGTGAGTGACACAGTGAGTGAGTGACCCAGTGAGTGAGTGACACAGTGAGTGACACAGTGAGTGAGTGACACAGTGAGTGAGTGACACAGTGAGTGACACAGTGAGTGAGTGACACAGTGAGTGAGTGACACAGTGAGTGACACAGTGAGTGAGTGACACAGTGAGTGACACAGTGAGTGAGTGACACAGTGAGTGAGTGACACAGTGAGTGAGTGACCCAGTGAGTGACACAGTGAGTGAGTGACACAGTGAGTGACACAGTGAGTGACACAGTGAGTGACCCACTCCGTATTGACGGACTTCAGCGTGGCCGAGGGCGTAGCGGGGGAGGCGACGCAGCCGGTGGTGTTCACTCCAGCGGAGAAGAACGCGGCTTGTACTAACACTAATATCAGAACCACTATGGCCACTGGCTCACAACAAGAACCACGGCAACAACAAAATCATTAAAACAACAATAATGATAAAACCACAACAATAATCGTGATGAAAATAACAATCATGATGATGATGACAATGACCATTAAAAAACAATGAAAACAATGACGACATTGATGACGATGACAACAATGATAACCATGACAACAATGATGACGACAATGACGACAGCAATGACAACAACAACCTGATAACAATGAGGATGACGACAATGATTACGACAACAACAATGACGACAATCAAGACAACAACGACGACCAAAATAACAACAATGACGACACCAACAATGACAACAACGACCACAACAGCAGTGATGATGACGACAACAACAACAGTGATGATGACGACAACAACAACAGCAGTCATGATGACAACAACATTGATGATGATGATGATGACGACAACAACAACAGTGATGATGACGACAACAACAACAGTGATGATGACGACAACAACAACAGTGATGATGATGACGACAACAACAACAGTGATGATGATGACGACAACAACAACAGCAGTCATGATGATGATGACAACAACAACAGTGATGATGATGATGACAACAACAACAGCAGTCATGATGACAACAACATTGATGATGATGATGATGATGACGACAACAACAACAGTGATGATGATGATGACAACAACAACAGTCATGATGATGATGACAACAACAACAGTGATTATGATGATGACGACAACAACAACAGTGATGATGACGACAACAACAACAACAGTGATGATGACGAGGGAGGAGGCGATGGAACTGGCGGTGTTCACACCAGCGGAGAGCCCCAACACACCGACTACCACTGGGGCCAGAGCCACTGTGGCCGCTGGCTCACAACAACAACAACAATCGTGACAACAACAATCACTTACAGTATCACCATCACCCACAGCATCACCATCACACACAACATCACACACAGCATCACCATCACACAGCATCAACAACAAAGACAACAACCGCCATTCACCACGAAGTAGCGGTGATGTCACCACGGTGCTTGTGCCAGGCTAGGTGCACCTTGAGGCCACGTGAAATCTAACGGCCGCTGGCAAGAGGTCACGGGGCAGACCCAGGTGCCACGGGTCGACTGACTGAGATGAGTGGTCGATGTATCACCTGTAGCCCCTACTGTGCCAACTTGCTGTGCTTTAGCTACCCGGCGCTCCACTCGTTGTTGTGAGCGTCGCTCCTCCGCTACGTCGTGGTGAATGGCGGTTGCCTGGGTATTTTGTACCATTGGACACTCCCTTGACCGCACTGAGGCCTCAATCAGCCACCCACAGAGGCCGATGTTGACACCGCTGGTACCAGTCATCGGCAAGTCCACTCAGCTCCACATCCTCCTGTACCACGTCACTCCATCTCTTCTCTAGCCCGTGCCACGCCCGTTTAGCCTCCTCGATCCGGCCGAACAAAAGCTGTTTAGGCATGCGGTGGCTGGGCATGTGGGCTACATGACCCAGCCAACGCAGCCTTGCCTGCCGGAGGAGTTCACCGATGGGACTTTGTCCACATCTTTCAAGGATTTGTGAACTTCTCACACAATCCAGCCTGGTTAAACCCAGGATGGATCATAAACAGGCCAGCCTTAATATTTCTCATCGGCGAAGATTTTCCGATAGGGTGGTCCACGTTTCGCAAGCGTAGAAAAGGAAGGGCATGACTGTGGCCATGAAGACCTGAAGTTTCGTGTGGAGCGACAGACCAGGTAGCTTCCACACAGTGTTACACAACCGATGAAAAGATAATGCCGCTCGACTGATTCGGAGTGAGACCTCTGCTGTTAAACCGGAGCTGGCCATTAACACACTGCCCAGGTATTGGACACTCTCCACTCTCTCCACAACTGCCCCATTACCAATTGGGAGTTGTGAGGGTGGAGTGTCCGATGGTACAAGATACCCAGGCAGGTGCTTAGTTTTGGTGGGGCTGATGGTAAGGTCCCACCTCTTAGTGGCACACTCCAGATTCAGCAGCAGTGCCTCCAACTCCTAATCTGAGTGAGCAGCAATTACCAGATCTACAGCATATGTAACATGTGTAATAAAATACTCGGACGCTTCTCTCTGACTCCGTGTCCTTTATTTGGGTTCTTGTCTTTTCCCTCACGGCACTCTCTTAGAGACCCTCTGCTTGCAGCCCCTGGCTGCTGTCACTATTGTAGCCTCCTTCCTCTCCTTGCAGACTCGCTGCTAACTCCGTGTGCAGACCCCCCGCTGCCAACTCCGTGTGCAGACCCCCGCTGCCACCTGCAGCCTCCTCGCTGCTCCTGCTGCTCCGGGGTCGGTCACCGTTGGCCGACGGTGCCGAACCTCGTTCCCCGTGTACGTGGCGATCTCGCCACTCTCCCACTCTCGCCCTACGTGGCCTCACTCGTTCCTAGTCTCCAATCACTCCCTTTCCTCTTCCGGTTTCTCTCCCTATAGACCTGACCCCTCTCCCCCACGTGACTTAACTCCTCCCCTCATGACGTCACATCCGGAAGGTCGTTTACGCCCGCATTACACCACCCTCCCCCGTAGAGAAAATCCAGCCGACCTCGGCTGAACAACAACTTAACAAGTAATGCGAGTGTAACAGACCAATACGTTAAAGGACACGAAGCATACAACAACAATATAAACAAGAACACAACACAAAGTTAACGAAATGTGAGGGATTTCGAGCGAGTGCGGGTAGCCGGGCCGTCCCGGACGGTCGGCGGCCCACCCGCCGAGCGGGAACGTGGCAGGGTTTTAAGGGCGACAGGATCAAGTTCGTCCGTCGCCATTGGAGGCCTGCCACCGTCCCGGTCCCGTTCAGAGGCGTCCCGTAATCGCGTCCGTGGCGGGGTAGGAAGGGCTGCAGGTCCCGGAGATTCCGCAGCCCTGGTCGGCACCCCGCGAGCGGAGCGTCCTCCCTCCTGCGGCGTCACGGCCGGCTTGTCTGTAAGGGGTACGACAGGCGCTCTTGCAAGGTCAGCAGGCACAGGCAAGGGCGAGTCGGCAGCAACAGACCCCGGCAAGGCAACCTCAGGAGATGACGCATCAGGTCGCGGGGCAACGTATGGCTTCAACCGAGATGTGTGTACGAACCAACGCCGCGATCCAACCCGAACACGCGCCGACTGTGGGTTGGGAACCTCGATGAGGCGGACCGGTCCTTGCCATGGTTTATGTAATTTAGGAGAGGTACCTGGCTGCACCTGTGGGCAATGAAGCCAGGCCAGGTCCCCCGTTTTCCAGGGGCACTCCCCCTTTGAACGTCGAGCACACCGCTCGTTCCGGGCCTGGGCTTTGGCCGTAGCCATGCGGGCTCCTTCCCTCGCCTCAGTGACACGGCGAACGTTGTCCTGAATGTAATCAGGAAAAGGTTTAGCAGGTCCCCTCGCTCCGGTTCCCAACTGCTCATTGATTGGCGGCACGTTTTCACGGCCGTACATAAGAAAGAACGGCGAATATCCAGTAGCCGCGTGCGGCGTCATGCGATACGCCGAAAGCACCCCAGGGATATGCAAATCCCAATCTGATTGTTTTTCACTGACCGTGTGACACAGCATGGCGGACAGGGTCCGATTTAACCGTTCCACCATACCATCCGTTTGTGGGTGGTAGGGGGATGTCCGTATCTTTTTAGTTCCAAGAGCCGCACACACCTCCCCCAACAATTTAGACGAAAAATTCCGGCCTTGGTCTGTAAGGAGCCTCTCCGGCGCCCCCTTGTCTATAACATACCCAAATAGAAAGGCGTCTGTGATAGACGCCGCTGACTGGTCAGGCAAAGGCCAGGCCATCGGCCAGCGGGAGAGGTACTCCACCCCCACTAGCAAATACTTATTTCCCCTAGCGGATGGCGGAAAGGGTCCTAAAATATCTAACGCCACCAATTCATTAACTCGAGATACCTGAATAGATTGTATCGGCGGCACATATGGATGTTTAGGTGGCTTCCGGCGGGCACAATCGGGACACGCGCGAACGTGACCGACTACATCTGTCGTCATGCCGTGCCAATAGTAATCTCGCTGCAGCGTCAATAGGGTCTTCTGCACCCCCAGATGTAAAAGTGTGTCACAATGCAGAGTCCTAATCAATTCGTACCGCAATGATGCCGGTACAACAAGACGCCAGCGTTCCTGTATCCCTTCCCTCCACATCAGCAATCCATCTCGGAGAGCGGTTTCCGGCACACCCCCCGCACCGAGTCCCCTAATTGCCTTCCCCGGTCGCTTACGTAACGTTACCAAGGAATCGTCCAACATTTGCTCCCGAATCCACACAGACCTCGGGAGACGCAAAATCCCATCAGCCGGTCCCCCATCAACCGGTCCCGGCTTAAGCGGAGCTCCAGGCACTTCAACTGCCAGCGCGACAGGTTGAGGGGGGTGCTGAATCGGTCCACACCTATGCGTCCCCGACGCACACGCGCAAGGGGATCGCTGCGGCAACCTGGAAAGCGCGTCCGCATTAGCGTGACGCACACCCTTCCGATGGTGAATTTGGAAGGAAAATTCTTGCAGCGTGTCCAGCCACCTTGCCAATTGGCCGGATGGTTGGTCCATCTTAAGAGCATACTGCAAGGCCGCATGGTCCGTGCGGACAATAAACGACCGACCGTACAGATACGGTCGAAATTGGCGGAGAAAAAAAACAATAGCCAAAAGTTCCCTGCGAGTGACGCAGTAGCGGGTTTCCGCGGGAGACAAAACCCGACTACCATACGCCACCACGCGTTCAACCCCACCTTTTGACTGAGACAACACCGCCCCAATGCCAGTGTCACTCGCATCCGTATCCAGAATGAAGGGATGTTCAAAATCCGGATAATCCAACGTCGGTGCCGTAGCCAATAGATCGCGCAGGCTTCGAAACGCCGCCTCCTCCGGCGGTCCCCAAGCAAATTTGTGTCCTTTCCCCGTAAGAAGATGCAAAGGCCTCGCGATCGTAGCAAAATTTGGAACAAACCTCCGATAATAAGAGGCGAACCCCAAAAACCGACGCACATCACCCACCGTGGCCGGGGTTGGCCAATCACGGACACACGTTGTTTTCTCCGGATCTGTGGCCACCCCGTCCGCACTAACAATGTGCCCCAAGTATCGAACGGAGTGTTGCAGTAGGTGACATTTTTTTGGCTTGAATTTCAAATTAGCAGAACGCATCCTGGTGAATACAGCCTCCAACCGCAGTAAATGCTCATCAAATGTGCGGCTGAAGACGATAATATCGTCTAAATATATCAGACATGTCTCCCACTGCAACCCCGTTAATACCAACTCCATCAACCTCTGAAAAGTGGCAGGGGCCGCATTCAACCCCATCGGAAGACAGTTAAATTGGAATAACCCCTGCGGCGTACGGAAAGCAGTCTTTTCTCGCGAGGGCTCGTCAAGGGGGAGCTGCCAGAAGCCCGAAGAGAGATCTAGCGTTGAAAAGAACTTTGCCCCCGACAAGGCGTCGAGAGAATCGTCCATACGCGGCAGGGGGTACGCATCTGCTACCGACACTTTATTCAACTTACGAAAATCTACACAAAATCGCAATTTGCCATCCTTCTTTTTAACCAACACAACAGGCGCGCCCCATGGGCTGTTAGACGGAGATATTATGTCCGCATTCAACATGTCGTCCACTGCCCCTCGAACATGCTCTCGCTCAGCCGGACTCATCCGACGCGAGTTTAAGCGAATAGGGGCAGCGTCCCCTGTGTCGATGTGATGATAAAGCAGCGAGGTGCGTCCCAAGTCCAAATCGTCGGAGCTAAACACATCCGAATAACTCGATAATAATTTACGAATCGCACAACGTTGTTCGCCGGAAAGGGCCGAATTCTCCCCACACAATTCAGCGATCCAGCGATCATCCACCGCTCCATCGTGTGAAACACCCCCAACCAGCCCCCCGCTGGACAGATCACCCTGAGCCGTAAACGCCGTAGTGGCATGTGCCACAACGGTACCAGCCGGCACACACACGCTTTCGGTACTCGCGTTAAGCACCTGCAAAAACGGCCGCTGATCTGGCCGGACAATAGTTTGCGCCCCCACCAGCGCCGATCCGCCCGTAATAGCGGCGGACGGCGACAGCAAAACCCCAAAAGCTCCCTGCCGACCAGGCACCGGCTTCCGATATCGTAAGGGAATGAGCATCTGTGAGCCAGGTGGAATATCAACAGAAACTTCCGACAACGCCTGCACCTGGGCGACAGGAGCAGGTCGCCCCCAGGCGGACGGTAAAAATGCCATTTTACGGCCCCCCGGTAATTCAATGCAGTTTTCATTGATTCGAATTAGAATGGGCATTTTGGCCAGAAAATCAGTACCCAACAGGCAAGGAACCGCAAGGGACCTCGAAATTAACACAATTCCCGAAGCCGACACTCCCCCGATAGATATGTTAGCATCCACCTGGCCCACGATGCCCATGCTACCCCCGTTCGCAGCGACGCAGGAAGCGTAAGCCGGCCTCACGGCCCCTGGTGGGATGTTCAAAAGGTGGAATATTACGTCCGAAATGATGGTCGCGGACGCACCGGAATCCACCAAAATACGTACGTCCACCCTTTGGATCGACCCGGGTACAGTGGATGAACCGGTAGCGGCCGCGACAACCCGCCGAGCCAACTTGCGCCACTGCGTTACCGAGCGACAAGGCGCAGCTAATGGCCTCCCGTTATTAACAACATCCGCCCCGCAAGACAACGGCGATGAGTGAGGTGTCAAGCCTTGCCGGGTGTCTGGTGCGCACCGACTTGCCTGTGCTGTAGAATCTTTCTTGGGAGCGTCCGCTGTCGAGGCCTCCTGCTGGGGCGGACCCGGAACGCGGGCCCAGCAGTCCCTGGCATAATGGCCCCGACGCCCGCAGCGGAAGCACTCGATGTCGTTGCGGCGCGCAGCGGGCACCCCGTCCCGACGCGGCCGTATCAGCGGCGCAGCCCGCGGCCCCGGCCCACCCCGGGCCGGCCACGGACCGGAGGCAGCTGACAGCTCCTGCTGGCTGCTCCCATCTGGCACGTACACGGCCTTTTTAGGGTCCCACCCTACGGCACCCCCCTCGACGACAGGACCACCTGTCCACGCCGTAACTTGTTTCCAGCGGCGAAGGTTAAACTGGGCGTCCAGACACTTCGCCGCGGCCCGGGACGTGAGCTTTTCATGACCGCACACCGGCATAGGAATGCCGAGATCCCGGGACAACTCCAACATTTTCCCCAGGATGAGAGGTTCCAGCAGGTCAGGCTCCATCTCCGGGTAAGCGGCCATAGCTAGCTCCAACACCGCGCCCCTATACGCCACCGGTGACTCCTCGGGTGCGCGTTGTCGTTGCACAAACCGGCGATGGGCATCATCCGGCGGCTCGTACGCGTCCGCCATTTCGTCGAACACACCTCGCAGAGTCTTCTTCTTCGCGGCTTTTATAGAGCGAAAAAATCGAACGGACTCATCATCGAGAAGAGTTGGAAGAACCTCTAGAGCCTCGGCGTCCGTCCACCTCGCTGAGCGTACCGCTGCCAGAAATCTACAGGTGAACGCACTCCAATCGCCCCCAATGGAGAATTCCTTGACAGTTGTTAAGTGACGACTGCGACTCCTTGGCCTGCTCTCTCCAGCCGCTGGCTCCTCCGGTGGCAAATTTAACATGGCGTCGCAACGCGGTGTCGACAAGATGGCGGCTGACCGTCGCGGAGGTCCCAAAATGGCGGCTTCCCGCTTTTTGTCGTGCGCCACGCCCAAGATGGCGTCTTCGTGCCGCGTGGCCGATGGCGGTGACAGCGAAGACAACCCGGACTCCTGCGGACCACCAACATCTCCTTCCGACGCCACCCTCGGCGTGACAAGCTCACACAAATGTGTAATGACGTTCTTGAGAGTTACAAGTTGCTCTGCCATCTGGCTCCATCTTGAATCCGCGTCCTTTGGAGCAGACGGGTCCGCCGACACGGCGACCTCTTGGACCCCCGGACCCGCACTCGTCCCAGCACGGATCTCTTCCTCTGCCAGAGTCAGGCCGACTTCAGGAGGAAGATCATCGTCGTCGGAAGATGAAGCCGATGCCGGAGACGGAATATTCTTTTTTCTCAGTTGTTTCGTCATGCCGTTACACTTCTGACACCAGTGTAATAAAAGACTCGGACGCTTCTCTCTGACTCTGTGTCCTTTATTTGGGTTCTTGTCTTTTCCCTCACGGCACTCTCTTAGAGACCCTCTGCTTGCAGCCCCTGGCTGCTGTCACTATTGTAGCCTCCTTCCTCTCCTTGCAGACTCGCTGCTAACTCCGTGTGCAGACCCCCCGCTGCCAACTCCGTGTGCAGACCCCCGCTGCCAACTCCGTGTGCAGACCCCCGCTGCCACCTGCAGCCTCCTCGCTGCTCCTGCTGCTCCGGGGTCGGTCACCATTGGCCGACGGTGCCGAACCTCGTTCCCCGTGTACGTGGCGATCTCGCCACTCTCCCACTCTCGCCCTACGTGGCCTCACTCGTTCCTAGTCTCCAATCACTCCCTTTCCTCTTCCGGTTTCTCTCCCTATAGACCTGACCCCTCTCCCCCACGTGACTTAACTCCTCCCCTCATGACGTCACATCCGGAAGGTCGTTTACGCCTGCATTACACATGTTTGAGCAATAAGGAGCCATCCCTTTACTGCACCCGGGCATCGATCAGCCACACATTGTATTTGTACCAGATGGAAATTCCTCCAGTACAGCAAGCGAAAGATTTACGAACTATATGATCGAAATAGATGTTAAATAATGTGGGAGCCAGGGGACATCCCTATCTCACCCCAAGGTGAACATAGAATAGCTCCGACTACCGGTCATGTAGTTTTACCCGAGCCCGCTCATCATTATGAATTTCCTTAACAATCGTAAGCAGAGAGTCAGGGACTCCAAAAGCACAAAGAACAACCCAGAGCCCAGGCCTATTGATGGCATCATAGGCATTGACCAGGTCAATAAAGCAAAAATATACAGATGGACAGAAAATATGGCATCTGTGCAGGACCGCCCTTTCCTCAAACCGCACTGGGGCTCCGCAAGCCTCTCCTCAGCATGCCTAGCAAGGCGATGTTGAATAATCCTTGCCAGGACCTTTCACGGCACACTGAGGAGTGAGATGCGCCTGTAATTGTTACAGTCTGTGTGGTCCCCTTTCTTGAAGAGGGGGAGCACCAGGGCATCCTTCCAATCCTGCGGAACCTGTCCAGTGGTCCAGACTGTTGTTATAATGTCATATAGGGCAGTCTGTGCACAATCGCCACCTTCGCCCAGCATTTTGTTTGGGAGAACATCTCTGCCCGGTGCGTTTCCTGGTCTCAGACTCTGGATCGCCTCCAGTACTTCCTCAACAGATGGCACCTCAGCCAGCCACTCACAGGGAGTGACTTCTTCCTCAGCCTCAACAAGGTCATCCTCACTTTTCCCCATGATGTTTTTCAAACTGAGAGATTTCCTCTCCCCCAAGATCTCACTGAAATGCTCAACAAATATGCAAACCTGTTCCTGGGGGTCGGAGATTGCATCACGATTCTTTCCCCTAATTATGGTAATAGGTGTGGCGCTGCAAGTTACTTTTTTAATGGAATTAAAGAACGATTTGTGATCGCCGGCCACGAAGGCAGATTCCATCTACTCAGCAACTCCGCGACCACCACCGAATCCCTGCATCGCCTCACGGCTCTCCGAACCTCCGAGCGAAGTCTGCGGTAAGCCTCCTCATTCTTTGACGTGGGATGCTGTAGACGATGAGAGTGCACTTGTTGCTTTTTCTCAGCCATCTTGAACACCTCATCTGTCAGCCAGGGTCTCTGGGGAGATCTGGACTATGTACCCAAAGCAGACATTGCAGCTGCATGAGCCACAGTCCTAAACCTTGCCCATTTCCCCTCGACATCAGGAGGAGTGGGAGACGATACCAACCCCAGCCGCAAGCGATGATGAAATTCTTGCTTGCAACTTTCATCAGCTAGCTGAGACCAGGCCACTATGGGCTTGAATGGGGTCCTGGGTGTACACCCACCACCAGAGTGGAAGAATGGCAGGCACATCTTACTGAAGACAAGTCGATGGTCAGTGAGCAGATCAGCTCCACAGTAGGTTCTGATGTCAAGGACATGGGCCCGCCTCCGCTATTCTGTCACTATGTAGTCCAGCAGATGTTCTTGCTTGGATCCGGCATGCGTCCATGATGATGCGTGGATGTGCCGATGCCAGAACAGCGTGTTGGTAATTACAATTTAATGGGCTGCACAAAAATCTAGCAGTCTCCTAGCGTTGTTATTGAGCTAATCAGGCCCATGCCTTCCAATCACTCCAGACCAGGTGCCAGCATCATGACCAACTCGGGCATTAAAGTCTCCCAACAGGATGACTCTGTCCCGAGGGGCCACTTTAGCCAGCACCTGTGACAGGAGGTTATAGAAGGACATCTGACTGATCGACCTTGCCTGCATCACTCCACGGATGTTCGTCTTCGGTGGGGACATAAGCAACCACAACCACCACTCCTCGCCTCCGGTTGATAGAAAGGCGAGCCCACAGTAGCCGGGGGCTTACAGCTTCCCCCACCTCACTGCCATGCTTGTTCAGAAAAAGAGCCACTCCCTGTTGTTTGGCAGTCTTCTGCCCCGAGTAGAGGACTGTCCACCCCTCATGGTGGCAGGAGCCAAAGCCAGTCCACCAGACCTCCTGAATACCACAGAGATCCAGGCGGTACCGGTCCAGCTCCCGACAGAGGAGTGGCAGCCTCTCCTCCGCAGTGAGCGTTCGAACGTTCCATTTGGCCACACAGTGGTGTTTTGTTATTTCTGGAAGAGCCCCGAGGGTGAAGATTCAGTCTCCTGGCTCCGCCAAATGGGGTTTGGCCAGGAGACGGCATAGACAACAGTCCCCCTGAGGCCTCCGGCACAAGCTTAATTCGATTTGTATTCCGTGGTATCGTGGTAAATGATTTAATGGTGGAGGCGTTACCAGCCCCTTGCACCCCTCCAGAGCCCGCATTTGGTCGCTATGGTGGCTACAAACGCCATGAGGGGAATGGCCAATCCAAATTGGCCCTCCCCCCACGGCACTGCTCACCACACCGTTGCCATCGTCCACCAACGGGGAATTCGGGGGTTGTTTTGCTGGTCTCACACAGTATCACACACAGCATCACATACAGCATCAACACAGCATCAACACAGAGCATCAACATCACACAGCATCACACAGCATCCAAAGACACAGATCCCCCTTACAGCTAGGTTCGTCGCGCAGCGTTGCACTAACCGCTACTCTACTGCTCCCCACAGCAGCATAACACACAATATCACACACCATCACACACCGCATCACCATCACACATCATCACCATCACACAGCATCACACAAAGCATCACACAACATCCAAAGACAAAGATCCCCCGTATAGCTAGGTTCGTCGCGCAGCGTTGCACTAACCGCTACTCTACTGCTCCCCACATCAGCATAACACACAACATCACACACCATCACACACAGCATCGCCATCACACAGCTTCACACACAGGACCAGCATCACACACAGCATGACACACCATCACACACCATCACACAACTCGACACACAGGACCAGCATCACACACAGCATCACACACAGCATCACACACAGCATCACGCACAGCATCACACACCATCACACAGCTTCACACACAGCTTCACACACAGCATCACACACAGCATCACACACAGCATCACACAGCATCACACAGCGTCACCAGACAAGCGATCACGTGGAGGCATGGTGACGTCATTGTTTACCTGTGGCTACCACGGCGGCCAAATTCCACCAGTGGGTCGACTTTTTCTCCTTCTCTGTGTGGGGGAGTTGCACAGAGAGGTTGGGTCTACATACTAATATATATATACACACACTATACACTATTCTACTATTTACTACTACACACTACATTATATACTACGACACACGATATACTACTACACACTATACTATACTACTATATACTACTACACACACACTATACTACTATATACTACTACACACTATATACTACTACACACTACACTACTACACGCTATTTACACACTATATACTACTACACACTACACTACTACACGCTATATACACACTATATACTACTACTATATACTACACGCTATATACACACTATATACTACTACACACTATATACTACTACACACACTATACTACTAAATAGTGGTGGGAGATGTGAGCCTTCTCGGGGCCCACCCTATTACGTCAACGAAGCCTACAACCAAGTTTATAGCGAATGACATCGCTAAGGAAACTGTACGTCGCCAGTCGACCTCTGGGTTACAGGAGTAAGAACTACGCAAAGCAACAAAGGTCCTCCTCAGGGCCAGACGAGCCGTTACATTGGCCCCATCGGTTCGTCTATGCCAGCTGCATGTTGATGGCCCGCGAAGGCAGACGTCCTCGTAAGAAAACAGCGACACGCCTGCTATCCAAGAGACGCACGCGGAGGAAAGCAGCTCCCTACGATTGAACATTCCAGGGTACATCCTCGCCGCTTTCAAGGGCCGCGCTAAACGCGGCCTGGCCACTCACATCGCGCATCGCATCAAAGATACAGTGAAAGTTATTTAGGCAGACAACGACTTCACATTTTGGACAATGATCGCCGGTCTCCGTTGTATACAATGTCTACAAACCGCCAACAACAATAACAACCTGGCACCTACCAACATTACCTGCGGTGCAAGATCCCGCGATCTACATAGATGACTTCAACATCCATCACACGATGTGGGGCTACCCAGTTAACGACTTGGCAGGCGAACAAATTCTCGATTTGGCATCTGCAGAAAGAGCTCTTCCTCGTTTTTGACGCCAGGCAACAAGGCACATTCCACCCTACATGGTGAAATACGGAATATAACCCATACCCGTTGCTTTGTAACCACAGATAAGAATGGCTCAGACATTTGCCCACCATATCCAAAGTCCTGCCTCGCTTCCCGCCACAGCCAGCACAAGCCCATAGTCATCCAGGTTGGCCACAGAACCCCAGTAATCACCAGCACACAAAGACCCTGCTGAAACTTTGGAAGGGCAGATTAGCCCCGTTTTATGGCTGCAGTGGAAAAGAACATCCACCACATCTCCACAAACCCTGAAAAATGTGAGCAGTTCATCGCGCTCGTGAAGAAAGCAGCCAGGAATTTGATCTCGCGGGCCTATCGAAGGTCCTACACCCCTCTCTGGACTGCGGAAAGTGAAAACCTGCTTCGTGAACATCAGAGCATTGGCGACCCAGAAATCGCCACAGCCGTTCTGCAGTCACTAGATTCTGCCAGAAGAGCAAAGTGGGCAACATTTATGGAGTCTTTTGACTTCACGCACTCTAAGGGCATGGGGGTTACTGTGGAAGCTCGGTGGAGCGACACCCTCAGAACAACGCACTCCTAAGGCGACTGCTAATGGGATAGCGACGCAGGTTCTCGGCAATGCAAAAACAGTCGAAAAGAAGAACGTGCAGTAAAACAACCCGCAAAAGATACACTGTCCACCAGGGTCAAAAACTCTCCTCTTTCTGCAGCTGTACTTCCGGAAGAAATAGATGCTGCACAAGCAGTAACAAAGGCAGGTAAAGCCGCAGGAATAGATGGGATTTACCCGGAATTCCTAAAACACCTTGGCAGGGGCAAAGGAAGAACCTGGCTGGCGAAACTTTTTTTAAAAATCATTGCCATCAACAAGCTACCAAGACTTTGATAAAAAGCAAAAGTCATTGCTCTCCTCAAGCCAGGAAAACCTGCTGATGACCCACACAGCTACAGGCCAATCTCTCTTCTTTGTACAGCCTACAAGCTACTGGAGTGAGTACTGCTTGCCCGACTCTCTCCTTTCTTGGAAGCCACCATACCACCTGTGCAGGCAGGTTTTCGTGCACAAGGAGTTGTACACCCCTAGCTGCCACTGCAATTTAGTGGCTTAAAATAGAATGTTTCGCTCCGGATGATCGCTGCAAAGTATGATCTGTGTTTTGATTTAGTGTGCTGATCTTAAAGGTGCATTGAAAAATGTTGATACTCCGACTGATGTTCCTACTGTTGTGGAGTGACTCATGTAGCCAGCTATGGCTGCAGAGTTTGGTGGTACATGTTGTTTACGTCGTTTATTGTGAAAATTCGGTCACAGTTCCTATGATCACTATTTCATTGCTTTTATGGCTTTATTTTGGTGAATTTCGAAAAGTTTTTTGGTTTGGCCATGTTTGTTTGTTGTAGTACAGAGTTAGACTGATGGCCTTAATCTAAGTTGTCTTGTGGTTGTTGTTGTTGTTGTTTGACTTGCATCCCACTGGGATTTTTGCACACAGTGTTGGTGTACGGTTCTTTTTCTGCAATATTTTGCTGTCTTTTCTTGAATTTTCTGTTTGCACATAGTCACTATAAGATGTATTCTTGTTCATGTTTTTGTTTTTAGTTTGTTGCGTTTGCACCCGATTCAAGAGTCGAATGCCTCACAGGGCTACACCTAATACATGAACTTGAAATGAACTTGAACTTGCTGTGACCAGGTCCTCGCCTTGACATCACCACATCGAAGTCGGCTTTCAGCATGAACAAAAAACAGCGGTTACCTCTATCAACTTGTCCTCTGCATTTGACACGGTCTGGCGACGAGGACTCCTCTTTAAACTCGCCAACACCATCAAGTGCGAAAAAACGGCTTGGCTAATCGCCAGTGTGCTCAGCGACCGACAATTTCGCGTCCATCTCGGAAACCAGATCAGCCGCCCACAAACTCTAAAAAATAGTCTACCGCAGGGGTCGGTATTAGCACCAGCCCCATTTAAGCTTTACAAGCAGCGACATACCGGCCACATTAAACCGCAAGTTAATTTATGCAGATGACCTAGCACTGGCCAGTCAGGCAACGACACTCAGCGCCACTCAAGACATCTTGAACACTGATCTAGAGAATATGGAAGATTATTACTACTCCTGGTGACGTAAGCCAAATCTGACCAAGACAGTCTCAACGACGCAGAGGCAAAAAGTACGCTGAAGATCGAGTTTTGTGGTAAAGCCTTCTCGACAGACCTGTTCTCCACCTGAAGACGGCTGCTTGCATTGTGGCCGAAACGTCGTGAGAAATATTTTATAATTTTATTATTTTCCTTCTACGTAACTTTACCGAAAGAACCAAGAAGATACTATGCACTACACACTAATATATATTTCTTTACACTATACTACTATATATACTACTACTAAACTATACACTACTAAACTGCCATACACTACAACACACTACACTAAACACGCCACTATACACTGCACTATGCAAAACACTGCACAACTATAAACTACAGTGTGCACTACTGTACACAACTTTACAATACACAGTACACTGGACACTATTATACACTACTGTATACACTACACTGCACACATCTTTACACTACAGTATACATTACACGATATACTACACAATACACTACTATACACTACACTATACACGACGGCATTATCATCACACAGCATCACCATCACACGTCGTCACACAGCGTCACAGTAGCGTCACCACACGAGCGATCACGTGGAGGTGTGGTGACGTCATCGTTTACCTCTGGCGCTGAAATTCCACCAGTTGGTCGATTTATCCTCTGTCTCTGTATGGGGGAGTTGCACAGACAAGTTAGTTCTACATACTCACTAATATATACACTATACTACTATATACTACTACACTACTACAAACTACAGTATTATATTCTACTACACTAAGATAAAATACACTATACACTACTGCACACTATACTAAAATATACTACTACACGCTACACTAATACACACTACTGTATACTCTACACTACTATAAATTACACCCTACACTCAGTGGCGGCTCGTCAATAGAGGGCGCAGGGGCGCCGCCCCCATCAATATTCAAGAAATATACATATGCAAAATGTATATAAAAATACATAAATAAAATATTTTTTTCATACGATGTGCCGGCTGGTAGTAAGAAAAGCATCAGCATTTAATAAAAACTGGCTTTAATCGGTCAACTATTTTCTATGTTTTTCAATGTGTTTCATGCGGGGCGCCGGACAAATGGATGTCTATGTGAGACTTTACATTTTCGGACAGCATGTGACCTGAAGCTGGTCTCTAATTGGTTTCTTAAAGATTCTCCTCGGGGCGCAAGTCGTTGCGTCCCTGGCCAATCAGAATTGGATACATGTTATTTTATCCAATCTGATTGGTTCTCGTCACCTGTCATTCAAATTTACGCTGTAGGCCACTACTGCGAGTGCGAAGGCGACACCACTTTGACACTTGCTAGGCTGATCAAATTTTTTGTGTAAACAATGGCAGCAGTTCATCCAAATTCTGTAATTTATTTACAAAAAAACCCTTTCACAAGGCTTTCGCTGGAAGAAATAAAAAAGATAAAGGATCTCGGACCGGACCAACCCGATTTACAAATCCAGCAGCAGGCCAGTGACAGAGGACGAAGCTACACACGAAGCTTCACCCGCGCTTGTTATGAGAAACGGAGGTGGCTGGCTGGATGTGATGTTAGCAATTCTCTTTTTTGTTTTCCCTGTCTTTTATTTCAAAGTGTCGGCACTGAAGTTTTGTGGACAACGACGGGGGTAAGAGACCTCAAACATCTCTCTGACAAATGCAAACGTCATGAAAGTAGCCGCAGCCATATTGATAATAGCATGAAACTAACGTTTTTATGTTCAAGTAGGAAACATGCTTTTTGGTACTTTGGTCTGAAATGTATATAAAAGAGAAACATTTATGTTCAAGTAGGAAACATGCTTTTTGGTACTTTGGTCTGAAATGTATATAAAAGAGAAACATTTATGTTCAAGTAGGAAACATGCTTTTTGGTACTTCTTTTGGTCTGAAATGTAAATAAAGATCATCAAAATTTATATTCAAGTAGTCAAAATGGTTTTTGGTACTGCTTTATATTTATTTGCCCCCCTCAATAAAATAAAAAAAATGCGCCCCCCCAAAAATAAATATCACCAGCCGCCACTGCCTACACTACAACACACTACACTACGCTTTACACTACAGTACCATTATCATACACCATCACACAGCATCCCCATCACACAGCATGACGATCAAGCAGCGTCATCACAGCGTCACCACACAAGTGATCACGTGGAGGCGTGGTGACGTCATCGTTTACCTGCGCCAAAAATCCACCAGTTGGTCGACTTCTCCTCCTCTGTGTGGGGGAGTTGCACAGAGAGGTTAGTTCTGTAGTGCTCGAACCGACACGACAGCTTCTTGTCTTTCCTCGTTTCTTTATTAACCTATATAGTTCCACATTTCTCCCGTCAACACCGCTCAATGTTCCTCCGCTCACACCAACTCGCAACTCTCCGTCAACACCGCTCAATGTTCCTCCGTTCACACCGACCCACAACTCTCCGTCAACATCACTCAATGTTCTTCCGCTCGCTCGCTGCGCTCCGCTGGCCTCGCTCGCTCCCCTCTGCTTCTCTGTCGTCTCTCCTCTCCGCTCTTTCTATCTCTCCAGCTCGGCTGCTCTTCATCAACTCCGTCGTCCCATCCCGTCGTAACTAACTCCGTCGTCTCTCTCTTCGGATGCTTCCGCTACTCCGCTGCTACCCTACACTATCCTCACTCTTCTCCACTGCTACCCTACGCTGTACTCACTCTATCCACTGCTACCCTACGCTGTACTCACTCTATCCACTGCTACCCTATGCTGTACTCTCTCTATCCACTGCTACCCTACGCTGTACTCACTCTATCTACTGCTCCGTCTCTCCATCCGTCTGTTTCTCGTCCCAGGAACCAACTCCCGTTTCACTCCACCATCCCTCACTTTATTCCTGAACCAATTACCCCTAATTAATTAGGTCATCCCCCGCGACGCCACTCGCCCCCAGCCTCCGGTGCCACGTGGCGTTGTTTTTCCAGACACGCCGGCGCCAATCTCGGACAACAGCCCCTCTCGTCCAATCAGCGCCCTGCATCTTTAATTACCCCGGCCACCTGCGGCTCCCTTAACTATCACGCCACCTTAATTTGGACAACAACAACGGTCATTCGCCCTCACTGTCCGCCGCGTGCGCGCATACCGACCCAGCGCGTGACGTGTATCTCAAGCACTACAGTTCTATACACTCACATACATATATACACAGGTATATATTCACAGTATACACTAAACACCACTAGACTAACATATATAGTACTACACTACTATATACTACTACACACTACACTACTATATTCTAATACTAGACTACTACACACTACAACACACTACACAACTGTATTCGACTACACGCTACACTGCTATACACTACACACCACTACACACTATACTACTATATAATACACTACTATACACTGCTACACCATATACTTCTACAAACTAAACTAATATATCCTACACTACGATACTGTACACTACATTACTATTCATAACTAAATACTACACTATACAATACACTACCATACACTACTACACTATATACACTACTAACTACAACACACTGCACTAGGCACTACATTATTCCACACTACACTACTATACACTACACTGCTATATACTACACTACACACTACTACACACTACTGCATCACCATCACACACCATCCCCATTAGACAGCAGCGTCATCGCAGCGTCACCACACGAGCGATCACGTGGAAGGGATTGGAGGAATAAAGTATTGAACGATGATCTGTCGGTAAAAAAGAGAGGATCAGTTAGAGGGTAAGAACAGGGACTGGCTCAGGGAAAAACAAGGACAAGAAGGTTCCACAAAGGGGGCTTGAGGAGTATGAAAGGGGAGAGCACGAGGAGTTGGGACGTTAGGAGGAAGTTACAAACTGAAGACAAGAGCACAGAGCCTCGGGTCACTCTTTGTGGCTGTGTCCCAAAAAAGTGTCTCTCATTTCATGATCGTCAGAGTCGTTACATATGTAGTGGATTCAACTGAGTCGCAGAAGTACTTCGTGGAGGCAACACATATTTATTAACACCAACACATTAACACAAAGGGGTTACTGCCCCTTCACCAGATAACCTGTGGTGGTGGACCACCAGGCTATCTACGCTAGTTACTGGGAGTAGCTACAACAGACAGGACCCTGCCTTGGGTCCTCGTCCACGTGTTAGTGACTTCTTCTCTTGAACGTAGATCGTAGATCTTTGGATGACGACAGCAACGCAGAGCCCCGGTCCCTGTTGGGACCCCGGCTTATATGCCCCTGGGTCGTGGCTGGCCCCGCCCTTGGCCACGACCCCCTTCGAGAAACCTCTTGTCGTTTCTCGACCCTTCCCGTAGGATCTCACCCTGACACGTGACCACCCCCTAGCCCCCGCCTGGGGCCCCTGCGTAGATCTTACTGGTCACGTGTCAACCAGAGTGCCATGGCCCAGGGTAACCTCATCAAATGGCTCACACTCTCACACTCCCTCCAGTAGGAGTCAGCACTGCACGCCACGTGTGGTGCCGCTGCGCTATCCCAGCGCTCACCGAGCCACCTCTAGGGCTGGTACTACACCCACCTATGGGGTGTCCGCGATGACGATGCATCGCACGCCATGCCTCACGAGAGCCAGCATTATTCAGTGACATTCACGATGTCACTACATACGTGATTTCGATTTAAAGCTTTCGTGACTGCAGGGATTCATCTTCTTGGTTCTTTCGGTAAAGTCACGTAGAATGGAAATAATAAAATAATAAAAATAAAACATAATAAAATAATTCTCACGACGTTTCGGCCACAACGCAAGCAGCCGTCCTCAGGTGAAGAACAGGTCTGTCGGAAAGACAGCGTCTGAAGAGGAAAGACAGCGTCTTCAGACAGACCTGTTCTTCACCTGAGGACGGCTGCTTGCATTGTGCCCGAAACGTCGAGAGAATTATTTTATGTTTATTTTTATTATTTTATTATTTCCCTTCTACGTGATGACTTTACCGAAAGAACCAAGAAGATACATACGTGATGTCCGCGATGCGAGTACATCACACGCCGTGGCTCTCTCGGGCCGGCACCACACAGTGACATCTGAGATGTCACTACACATATACACTATACTATACACTATTATAACACACTACACTACTAAATACTACTACACTACTATTTACTATACTACTACACTACTATACACTACTACACTACAACACAACTATACTCGTTGGGTCTTTCGGTAAAGTCACGTAGAGAGAACAATGAAAAAGTCATGACGTTTCGATCGCAACACAAGCAATCGTCTTCAGGTGAAATAATACAGCAGGCGGACTGCTGAGGCAGGACGAAATATAGTGGGAGAGCTGCTGCAACCAAAGGTTATACAGGTTTGAGATGGGTACCACCCAAGGGTAAGTGGGCGGGTCTTTAAGATTTTACAACACAACTATATACTGCACTGTACACTACAATACACTACACTATACACTACACCATCACACACCATCACCATCACACAGTGTAATCGCAGCATCACCACACAAGCGATCACGTGGAGGTGTGTTGACGTCATCATTTACCTGCACCGAAATTCCACCAGTTGGTCGATTTCTCCTCCGTCTCTGTGTGGGGGAGTTGCACAGACAGGTTAGTTCTACATACTCATACATATATACACTATACCTTATACTAATATATACTACTACACGCTACACTAATACACACTACTGTATACTCTACGCTAATAGAAATTACACCGTACACTACAACACACTACACTACGCTTTACACTACAGTACCATTATCATACACCATCACACAACATCACCATCACACAGCATGACGATCAAGCAGCGTCATCACAGCGTCACCACACAAGTGATCACGTGGAAGCGTGGTGACGTCTTTGTTTACCTGCGCCGAAATTCCACCAGTTGGTCGACTTCTCTGTTTGGGGGAGATGCACAGGGAGGGTAGTTCAACATACTCACACACATGTATATACAGAGTATACACTATATACTACTACACACTTCTAACACTACTCTATATAGCGCTACACTACTATATACTACTACATACTAGACTACTATATTCAACTACTAGACTACTACACACTACAACACACTACACACTACACAACTGAATTCGACTACACATTACACTACAATATATTACACTACTATATACTACACTATACACTAACACACACTACACTGCTATACACGACACGTCACTATACTACTATATACTACACTACCATACACTGCTACACAATATACTTCTACAAACAACTAATAAATCCTACACTACTATATTGTACACTACACTACTATCCAATACTAGATACTACATTATAAAATACACTACTACACTATATACTACACTACTATACACTACTAAACTACAACACACTGCACTATCATACACTGCACTATGGACTACAATATTCCACACTACACTACTATACACGACACTGCTATATACTACACTACACACTACAACAAACCACACTACTACACAATACACTACGCTATACACTACAGTACCATTATAATACAACATCACACAACATCACCATCACACCGCATCACGATCAAGCAGCGCCATCATAGCGTTACCACACAAGTGATCACGTGGATGTGTGGGGACGTCATCGTTTACCTGCGACGAAATTCCACCAGTTGGTCGATTTCTTCTCTGTTTTATGGAGTTGCATAGAGAGGTTAGTTCTACATACTCACACACAGATATACACAGTATACACTATATACTACTACACACTACTACACTACTATATATAGCGCCACACTCTACTATATACTACTACACACTTCTACACTACTATATATAGCGCTACACTACTATATGCTACTACACACTACAACACACTACACAACTGTATTCGACTACACACACTACAATATACTACACTACTATATACGACACTATACACTACCACACACTACACTGTTATACACTACACGTCACTATACTACTATATACTACACTACTATACACTGCTACACAATATAGTTCTACAAACTAAACTAATATACCCGACACTACTATATTGTACACTACACTACTATCTACGACTAGATACTACACCATACAATACACTACTATACACTACTACACTATATACACTACTATACACTACTAAACTACAACACACTGCACTATTATACACTGCACTATGCACGACATTATTCCACACTACACTGTTATATACTACACTATACACTACTACATATTATTGAATCACCATCATACACCATCACCATTAGACAGCATCACTATCAAGCAGCGTCATCGCAGCGTCACGACAGAAGCGATCACGTGGAAGTGATTAGAGGAATAAGGTTTTGAACGAGGATTAGGGACATGTGGATGAAGTTACGAACTGAAGATAAAAGCACGGGGCCTAGGGTCCCTTATTGTGGCTGTGACCCAATGAAGTGTCTCTCATTATATCGTCGTCAGAGTCGTTAGATATACACTACACTATACACTATTATAACACACCACACTACTATATACTACTACATTACTATATACAACACTCTACACTACTATATAGTATATACTACTCCACTACTATTTACTATACTACTACACTACTATACACTACTACACTACAACACAACTATATACTACTGTCCACCAACTGTACACTACTATATACACTATACTACACTGTACAAAACTGTACATTACACTGCTATATACTACACTGTACACTACTGTACACTATATTATTGGTTCTTTCGGTAAAGTCACGTAGATAGAAAATCTAAATCGAATTTAAAATAAATTTAAAATAAAAGCAAAAAACCACGACGTTTCGATCGCAATACAAGCGGTCTTCATCAGGCGGAGAGAAAAGAGAGGGAAAGCCTCCAAATGCAACTGTTTATCAGGGCTTTTAAAGTGAGCACAGCTGTGCGGCGTAAACAGCATGGGCGGTTTAGCCAGCGCCAATGTAGGAGCAAAGCACCAGAAGTACAAGTAAAGAAAGTGTGTTAGACAATGGGGGTAGGGAGGGCGCAGAGATAGGGGGAGAGAGAGGGAGGGTAGAGATAGAGGTGGAGCTGAAGGCGAGGGGCACAGTCCAAGTGTGTTAGACAATGCGGGGAGGAAGAGGGAAGAGATAGGGGGGAGAGAGAGGGAGGTAGAGATGGGGGGGGGGGGATTGCACCTCGCTACACCCATCCACACTGCTGACGGTAGAGATTGACAAGAAAACACAAATCAAGTCATGACCCAAAGTGGTTGATACCATCTTTCCAATGATTGCCGAGTTTAAAACCGTCGTCTCGGTTGAAATTGTGTATGTGTAGTGCCTGAAACACGCGCCACACGCGGGAGTGGGTGTACGCGTGCGCAGAGTACAGTGGGACCAAACGAGGTCGAGGTTGTTATTGTCGTTAGGCGTGAGCAGAAGGCCAGAGACGGGTTGGGGGCGATTAAGGACACAGGGCGCTGATTGGCTGGGAGTTGTTATTGTCCAAATGTGATGCCACGCTGTCTGACGACAGTAACAGGTGGTAGGGGGGGATTAAGGACGCAGGGGGCTGATTGGCCGGGAAGTTGTTGTTGTGGCTAAGTGGCGCCGTGTTGTCTGGAAAACGTGGCAGGTGCCAAAGGGGGCTAGGGGGTGGTGGGCGTCGAGGGGATGCCACCGATTAATTGGAGATTAATTGGCTTGGGGATGAAGAGAGGGGGTTTTGAAGCAGACGAGAGTTCGCGCCTGGGAGGAGAAGGAGGATGTTGGAGCTGAAGCCGCGGAGCAAGAAGCAGTGGAGAAGTATAGGGTAGCAGTGGAGAGGTATAGGGTAGCAGTGGAGAAGTATAGGGTAGCAGTGGAGTAGTGTAGGGTAACAGTGGAGAAGTATAGGGTAGCAGTGGAGAAGTGTAGGGTAGCAGTGGAAAAGTATAAGGTAGCAGTGGAGAAGTATAGGGTAGCAGTGGAGAAGTATAAGGTAGCAGCGCAGAACTATATGGTAGCAATGGAAAAGCCAGCAGAAGTGGCTGGAGTGTGACGGCGAAGCCAGCAGACTAGCCGTAGCTTCAGCCGCACCAACCTTATCATAATAATAAACAGGACCCTGCGGGGTGGGCTGGTAGGAACGAATAACCAAAGAATATAAACATAATGTATTATTACACTTGTTTAGCCAGGAAAGCCCCACTGAGTCAAAAGGTTTTTGTAGGGTCCTGCCAAGTGTTTGCAGTAGGGGGCGATGTTGCTAAACCTAATCGGACAATACGAAGGGAGAGATTGAGGCCTAGTTCTAGGCTTTAAGCCTATCTGTAGGCTTTAGGGCGCTGTGAGTTAATTTTTAATTTAAATGTTTTAATTATTTATGTAAAAGCTTTAAATTTAAATGTTTCTATTTAAAAACATGAGGGAATGTATCATTGTTAAACATTAACTCCCTTTCACACACGCGGGGGTACGATACGAAGGGAGAGTTTCAGGCCTAGTTCTAGGCTTTAGGCCTAGCTGTAGGCTTTACGCCGCCGTGAGTTAATTTTTAATTGAAATGTTTTAATTATTAATGTAAAAGCTTTAAATTTAAATGTTTCTATTTAAAAACATGAGGGAATGTAACATTGTTAAACATTAACTCCCTTTCACACATGCGGGGGTACAATACGAAGGGAGAGTTTCAGGCCTAGTTCTAGGCTTTAGGCCTAGCTGTAGGCTTTAGGGCGCTGTGCGTTTTTTTAATTAAATTTCAAAGTTTTAATTAAAAGCTATCTCAGGGAATTATAAGGGAATGTTACACGTGTTTAGCCAGGAAAGCCTCATTAATTGAAATGTTTTAATTAAAAGCTATCTGAGGGAATTATAAGGGAATGTTACACTTGTTTAGCCAGGAAAGCGTCACTGAGTCTAAAGGTTTTTGTAGGGTCATGCCAAGTGTTTGCAGTAGGGGGCGATGTTGCTACACGGACGGATGGGCGGACAGACGAAATAATCTATTGGTGGCTGGTCCACTTCGTTCCTACCAGTAAAAACTCCTATCCAGGGGCCTACCCTGGCTCCTCCCCCCTCAACCAGTATATATATACAAGGTCGGATCTCTTGGAATTTCTCATTTACTTGATACAGCAAGCATGCTGTGACGGTTCTACCTGAAGACGGAAGCCTGTGTTGCCTCTGAAACGTCGTGATTTTTATTTTATTTTACTTTAATTTAAATGTTTTACCTACGTGACTCTTTACCGGAAAAAAAAACTAAGAATACAGCTGGAGTGTGACGGCGAAGCCAGCAGAAAGCGGCTGGAGTGTGGCGAAGCCAATAGTGATATGGCTGAGTGTGACGGGAGAGCCGATAAAGAGCGGCTGAACTGACGGAGAGAGTGGAGAGGAGAGTCGACGGAGGAGAGACGCGGAGCGAGCGAGGGGAGAGCGCGCGGGAGGATTGTTGATTGGTGTTCGCTGGAGGAATGTTGATCGGTATTAGTGAAATAAAGTGAGAGAGAAAAGCAAGAAGCTGTCGTGTCAAGTCGAGCACTACATCTGTATATATGGATGGCTTCGTGAACGAATCGTTTTTGATAACCAGTAGGCTTGCAAAGTACCATCGTCTTAGAGAAATCAATTTCACGTGAGCCAGCCGCATTACAGTAATGATCAGCCACGGCAGAAGTATTGGTCCTGCCGTGTTTCAGATCTGCCTTATGTTCACCAACACGGTCCGACACATGTCGCTTAGTTTCCCCAATGTAACTGCTGCCGCAGATACAACTTAGTTTGTAGACGCCGGGATATTGCATGTCAGAAATCTTGTCCTTCACAGATGGGATCAGATCACGAATGTTATGCAATGTTTTAAATCTGACCTGGATCTTGTGTTTGTTCAACATTTTGGAAATCTTTTGGGTTATCCCTGCTATGTAAGGGAATGGTGATGGTTTTGATTTGATCTTCAGATGGCTCCTTTAACCACGGTTGGGGTGATGGCTTTGCGGATTGTGTAGTCAGAATATCCATTCACCTTGAGAGCTTGGTGTATGTGTTTGAGTTCACTGGTTAGGTGTTCATGATCGGAGATACATTGAGCTCTATGGTGTAGCGTTTTTGATGAAGGAATTCTTCTGGGATGGATGGTGATGGCAATCAGGTTTTAGGAAGTTGTCGGTTACTTTTCTGTAGACAGAATGGCTCATTGAGCAATCTGGTCCCTTTTTGATTAAGACATCCGACTGTACACTAAACTAAACACTACACCATCACACACCATCACCATCACACAGCGTCATCGCAGCGTCACCACACAAGAGATCACGTGGAGGCGTGGTGACGTCATCGTTTACCTGCGCCGAAATTCCACCAATGGGTCGTCTTCTCCTCCTCTGTGTGGGGGAGTTGCACAGACAGGTTAGTTTTACATACTCACATATATACATTATACACTATACTACTATATACTACTACATACTACTACATACTACACTATTATATTCTACTACACTACACTCCTATACAGTACACTATACACTACTGCACACTATACTAAAATATACCACTACAAGCTACACTAATACACACTATTGTATACTCTACACTACTATACATTACACCCTACACTACTACACACTAAACTACGCTATACACTACAGTACCATTATCATACAACATCACAAAACATCACCATCACACCGCATGACAATCAAGCAGCGTCATCACAGCGTCACCACACAAGTGATCACGTGGAGGCGTGGTGATGTCATCATTTACCTGCGCCGAAATTCCACCAGTTGGTCGACTTCTCTGTGTGGGGGAATTTTCACAAAGGTTAATTCTACATACTCACACACAGATATACACAGTATACACTATATACTACTACACACTACTACACTACTATATATAGTGCTACACTACTATTTTCTACTACATACTACACTACTGTATTCTACTACTAGACTAATACACACGACAACACACTGCACAACTGTATTCGACTACACACTACACGAGAATATACCACACTACTATATACTACACTATACACTACCACACACTACATGGCTATACACTACACGTCACTACATACTATACTACTATATACTATACTACCATACACTGTTACACCATATACTTCTACAAACTAAACTAACATATCCTACACTAATATATTGTACACTACACTACTATCCACTACTATATACTACACTAAGCAATACACTACCATACACTACTACACTATATACACTACTAAACTACCACACGACACTAATTATACTACACTGCTATAAAATACACTGCTATATACTACACTATATACTACACTACACACTACAAAATCACCATCACACACCATCACCATTATAAAGCATCACCATCAAACAGAGTCATAGCAGCGTCACACACAAGCGATCACGTGGAAGTGATTTGAGGAAGAAGGTTTTTTAACGAGGATCGATCGGGGAAAAAGAGAGGATCAGTTAGAGGGTAAGAACAGGGACTGGCTCAGGGAAAAACAAGGACAATAATCTTCCGCAAAGGAGGCTTGAGGAGTATAAAAGGGAACAGCACGAGGAATGGGGACGTGCGGAAGAAGTTACAAACTGAAGATAAAAGCACGGGGCCTAGGGTCCCTTATTGTGGCTGTGACCCAATGAAGTGTCTCTCATTTCATCGTCGTCAGAGTCGTTACATATACACTACACTATACACTACTATACACTACTACATTACTATATACTACAACACACTACACTACTATATACTGCTCCACTACTATTTACTATATTACTACACAACTATATACTACTGCACTACAACTCTACTATATACTACACTGTACAATACAACAAACTACACTACTACACAATACGCTATACACTACAGTGTCATTATCACACAACATCACCATCACACCGCATCACGATCAAGCAGCGTCATCACAGCGTCACCACATAAGCGATCACGTGGAGGCTTGGTGAAGTCATTGTTTACCTTCGCCGAAAGTCCACCAGTTGGTCGACTTCTCCTCCGTTTCTGTTTGGGGGAGTTGCACAGACAGGTTAGTTCTACATACTCACACATATATATACACAGTACACACTCCACTACACTACTATATACTACTACACACTGCAACACACTGCAAACTACACAACTGTATTCTACTACACACTACACGACAATATACTGCACTACTATTTGCTACACTATACACTACCACACACTACATTGCTATACACTACACGCCACTACACACTATAATACTATAAAATACACTACTATACACTACTACACTATATATTACACTACAATACACTACTAAACTACAACACACTATTATACACTGCACTATGCACTACATTATTCCACACTACACTGCCATACACTACACTGCTTTATACTGCACCATACACTACTACACACTACTGCTTCACCATCAGCATTAGACGGCATCATCATCAAGCAGCGTCATCACAGCATCACCACACAAGCGATCACGTGGAAGTGTGGTGACGTCATCATTTACCTGCGCCGAAATTCCACCAGTGGGTCGATTCTGTATGGGGGAGTTGTACAGACAGGTTAGTTCTACATACTCACACATATATACACTATACGCTATACTACTATATACTACACTACTATATTCTACTACACACTACACTACTGTGGTGCCGCAGCAACGGAGCAACTCTGCCAGCGCTGCTATTCCCTCGCAACCCCCCACACGAACGCACGCACACCCCTCTCAACACACATATACCCCCACATAGGGCCTCGTGGGGGGGTCACCTGGCACCAGAGGTCGCAACCGGGTACCCAATACCCGTACCCTACCCGATACCCGGCTACCCGTACCCGGCCGAGTACGGGTACGGGTAGCCGTTTGCGACCCTGGTGCGGCCGGTTACGGGTAGGCCGTGAGTCACTGGTGAGTAACCGTTTGTCACTCATTTCGGGTAGGGTACGGGTACGAGTATGGAACCCGTACCCGGCCGGGTACGGGAACGAGTACCCATTTGCGGCCCTGTTGCGGCCGGGTACGGGTAAGGAATCAAAACCCCTTTGCGACCTCTGCCTGGCACCCTGGGTGTTTACCCGAGGGCCCCCTCGTGGGGATGTCTCACGGTTTCCCAGTGCCAGGAGATTAGCCGACCACCCCCCCACCCCAGGCCAAATTGCCCTGCGGCCCCGTGGATTAACTTAAATTTGTATGGCCACGGCGAGCTCACTGAGCAACCGCGATGAGCACACACTGACTGACCACAGGGGAATAGGGCCGTGGGGAGAGCAAAACGCCTAGCGAGCTGGGTAAAGCTACACCGCAACCAGAGAACGGGAGGGAGGACGGGCGCGTAGGCAATAGAGTAGGGCGCGAAGGAGAGCCACCTGCCAGGTAGGGGGGCACGGCAGCTGTGCATCCCCCCCCCCCCGTATTGTTAAAAACCACCATAAAAAAGGAGCTGAGCCAGGTGGAGACGGGGCGTCGGTTGAAAAAATCGATAAGTAGGGACCCGATTGGCCGCGCAGAAAAGACGACCCGAGATGGGGTTTTTTGAATAGGGACAGTTCTTCTCCAGTCAGGGAGCTACCCAGTCGGACTCCCAGCCACTCGAGCGTCCGAGAGACACTGGCGAGTGCCGCTACAACTCGACCCAGGCAGAGATCTCCCGGACCCTGGTCCCTCCGACTCCCATTGCGTCCGTGAGAAACCGTGAGTACGTAAGAGGGGTGAGGAATAGCGCGAGGGTTCCCCGAGGGTTTGGGTAGAGATAGGCGGGACGCTGCTCGCTAGATAGTTTTGCATCCGGCCCAAGCAGGGCTTTTCTTCGGGTACCCCATTAGTAATCTTTAGTGCAGAACAAACGACGCCGCGTGATTTCTGTGTGTGTGGAGAGAGCGTAGGGGTGGTGTGGGTATGTGCATACGTGTGAAGTGCGCAGGTATTTAGTCCTAAAAACGATCGCTGACGTTCGCGTGCGATCGCGTGAATATTTACCTAGCGCGTTTTACGCCGCACCACCTCTACATAATAATAGGCTCAGTCAACCATTCTACACAACAAAGACTCATTTCCTGGCAGAGATTTCAGCTGCCATCACCTCTACATAACAAAAAGGCTCAGTCCCTTTTACACGCACCTTTACATCAGCCGCACCTAGTTTACACAACAAAGGCTCATTCCTAACAGCGTGCTTCAGCCGCACCGAATCAGGGCCTACCTTGGCTCCTCCCACCCTCAACCAGTATATATACAAGGACTGTTTTCTTGGAATCTCTCTCACTTGATACAGCAGTCGTGCTGTGACGGTTCCACCTGAGGACGGAGGCTTCTGTTGCCCCCGAAACGTCGTGATTTTTATTTTATTTTTATTTTACTTTTATTAATTAATTTTTTTTACCTATGTAAAGTAGTAACTCGGCAGGAGACGACTTCACGGGTAGCACACTCTTTATTTTCACCAACTTGTAGTTACACGGATGACTAACACCCACTTCGTTACACGGGTGACTAACACCCACTTAGCTACTCGGGTGACTCACACCCACTCAGCTACACGGGTGACTAACACCCACTTCGTTGCACGGGTGACTGACACCCACTTAGCTACTCGGGTGACTCACACCCACTCAGCTACACGGGTGACTAACACCCACTTCGTTGCACGGGTGACTGACACCCACTTAGCTACTCGGGTGACTCACACCCACTCAGCTACACGGGTGACAGACACCCACTCAGCTATACTGACACGGGCTCTTACGCCCCCTAGCCTTCCGGGACACACCCAGCCGGGGGTGCCCGTCTCGGCTCTGGGTACCACCGTCCCGACCCACACGGGCGTCGGACTACGGGTCCCCCAGTCTCGGCTCCGAGCCACACAGGGCCCCGGTCCTCACAAGGACGGCGGGACTAGGGGTCTCGGGCCACTACCTCCTCCACCCCGTCTTCGGTCTTCAACTGGTTAACACTGACCACGAGTGCTCTCGCGCGTCTCCCTTTATACCCCTCCTGCGGACGTCGCTGAGAGCACCCACTTATCTGACCAATCACTGCGCACTCGCTACGATCCTCTTTTCCCAGCTTGTGTCAGCGCGCCTTACCACCGGCGCGCGCGTCCATACCACGCCCACATCGCGTGCCCAACCCCGCGCCCCGTGATCCATCACTGTCGGCGCACGTCAATACCACCACTACATCACCCCCTACCACATAGCTCGCAGCCGACCCGGCTGCTAATAAAATATACAACACCCCTTCACCCCTATGTGTGCCCCGTAACATAACAACAAAACCCTAACAACACAACATGAACACCGCAATCCGCAAAACCCAGCAACCGCCACGCCCACAACAAGAACAATATGTGCAATCCGGCGAGTGGCAACGATAATGTGTATGCGGAAAGAGTAACAATAAAAATAAAAAAAATATTTTTCATTTTCTCTTCTTTTCTCTCCGACTCGTGCAGCGTCCCAATGTGTCCGAGCGTCCCTTGAACGGGACATTACCCCGGCAGAGGGGGACCCCAGCAGCGAGGTCGGGCTTTAACCAAAAAAGGAAATTCAACTTTTTTCTTTTTTTTTCTTTTTCTATTCATGAAAAGTGTTGCGTCCTAGCCCGAGTCCGCCTTGCCGGTCCGTCGTACGGCACCAGACGCAGTTGGCCATCCGGTGGCGCCGGCAGTTCAGGAAGGCATGGGCCAGGCATCGGGGCTCCGCGCGAGCCGCGGGGTTCCGGTTCCAGACGGTCAACAGCCGTCAGGTCCGAGACACCTGGGGGTGGGTCAGGTGGAGACACGTGAGGATCAGCCTGCGACACATCCCTCCCCGAGTCGACGGTCACATCACACGCTCGGTCGTCACGGCACAACCCGGGGTCACGCGGCGCCGCGTAGGGTTTCAGTCGGGAGGGGTGCACGTACCAACGGCGTTTTCCCCATTTAATCTGTATACTCTGGGGTCGTGCAACCCGCACAATTTCCACCGGTCCCCTCCATGGTCTCAACAGTTTGGGGGACGTAGCCAACGGTGCGTGTGGACAATGCAGCCAGGCCTTATCGCCCGGTTCCCAATTGTGCGTATGCACCTTCCGTCCATGCAATCGCTCGTTCGCGATCTGCCGAGACCGCGAATTCAATCTCGCAGCCTCTCGCGCTTCAGCCAATTTGGCGATGTTAAACTTGATATGGTCTGCCAATTTAGATTTTGCACGTGGCTGGGAAATCCCCAGTTGGACGTCCATGGCCGGATCGGCCTCCCGCCCATACATCAGAAAAAATGGAGAAAACCCCGTCGCCGCATGAGGTGCCATCGATAGGCCGCTAATACTCCCGGTACCTGTAAGTCCCAATCCACCTGGTCATCGCATACCTGTTGGCACAGCATAGACGTAATCGTCCTGTTCAGACGTTCAACCATACCGTCAGTCTGCGGGTGGTACGGGGAGGTACGTACTTTCTTTGTACCCAACAGGTCGCACACCTCGCGCAACAAAACACTCGAAAAATTTTTCCCTTGATCCGTCAGCAAGCGTTCGGGGGCGCCTTTGTCCAAAACATAACCTTGGACAAAGGCATCCGCCACTGCCGCAGCCGACTGGTTGGCGAATGGCCATGCCATGGGCCAGCGAGTGAAGTACTCTACGCCAACCAGCAGGAACTTATTTCCCAGAGGCGTAGCGGGAAAGGGCCCCAAGATGTCCAGCGTGACCAATTCGTTCATGCGCGAAACCTGAATGGATTGCAGCGGTGGATTAGCCGCTATTGGTGGTGGTTTTCTTTGGGCGCACCCTACACATCCCTTAAGAATGTTCGCCACGTCGTTGCCCATCCCCGGCCAATAGTAGTCTCGCTGAATGAGGGCGAGCGTTTTGTGAAACCCCAGGTGCATGAGTCGTTCATGGGCAGCCAGGACGACCCTACCTCGCATAGCAAACGGCACCACGAGCACGTGACGCCGGGACATGTTGTCCCACCTCATCAAAAGGCCCTGTCTGCACACCCAGGAACCGACCCGCGTTTCCCCTCCCTCGGGATCGTCAACCTTCCGACGTAGCGTGAGTAGGGAGCTGTCGGACATTTGCAGACAGCCCCACTCGATGAGAGGCAACGCTAACAGCGAGTCCCTCCCCGTGGGAGCGTCGACCCCCGTAGTATCCGTGGCGGCGAGCACAACTTCCGCGGGGACAGCGACAGAGGGTTTACACCGCGCCGATCCTAACAGACATGCGCATTCCGTACGCGGCGGCAACCGCGACAATGCATCCGCATTCGAGTGGCGCAACCCCTTGCGGTAAATCGTCGTGAATTGGTAGTCCTGAAGGACCTCCAACCATCGGGACAATTGGCCGGATGGCTGCGCCACCCGCATAGCGTATTGGAGAGCCGCATGGTCCGTGCGAACCGTAAAATGACGGCCATAAAGATACGGCCTGAATTGCTGTATAAAAAACACAATCGCCAGCAATTCACGACGTGTCACGCAGTAGCGTTGTTCCGCGGGGGACAGAACCCTGCTACCGTAGGCGACCACCCGTTCGACCCCCCCGACCAC